AGAAAAAAAGATGAAAAGAATTGAAGACCATCTCAGAGACCTCTGGGACAACACTAAATACACTAACATTCGAATGATAGGGGTCCCAGAAGAAGAAAAGAAAAAGAAGGGGTCTGAGAAAATATTTGAAGAGATTATAGTTGAAAACTTCCCTAACATGGGAAAGGAAATAGTCAAACAAGTCCAGGAAGTACAGAGAGTCTCATACAGGATAAATCCAAGGAGCAACACACCAAGACACATATTAATCAAACTATCAAAAAATTAAAAACAAAGAGAAATATTAAAAGCAGCAAGGGAACAACAACAAATAACATACAAGGGAATCCCAATAAGGTAAACAGCTGTTCTTTCAGCAGAAACTCTGTAAGCCAGAAGGGAGTGGCAGGACATATTTAAAGTGATGAAAGGGAAAAACCTACAACCAAGATTACTCTACATAGCAAGGATCTCATTTAGATTCGATGGAGAAATTAAAACCTTTACAAACAAGCAAAAGCTAAGAGAATTCAGCACCACAAAAACTAGCTTTACAAGAAATGCTAAAGGAACTTCTATAGGCAGGAAACGCACAAGAAGGAAAAGACCTACAATAACAAACCAAAAAAATTAAGAAAATGGTAATAGGGACATATATACTGATGATTACCTTAAATGTAAATGGATTAAATGGTCCAACCAAAAGACATAGACTGGCTGAATGGATACGAAAATGAGACCTGTATATATGCTGTCACAAGAGACCCACTACAGACCAAGGGAAACATACAGACTGAAAGTAAGGGGATGGAAAAAAGATACTCCATGCAAATGGAAATCAAAAGAAAGCTGGAATAGCAATTCTCATATCAGAAAAAATAGACTTTAAAATGAAGACTATTACAGGAGATGAAGAAGGACACTGCATAATGTTCAAGGGATCAATCCAAGAAGAAGATATAACAATTGCAAATATTTATGCACCCAACATAGGAGCACCTGAACACATAAGGCAAATGCTAACAGTCATAAAAGGGAAAACTGACTGTAACACAATCATAGTAGGGGACTTTAACACCCACTCTTACCAATGGGCAGATCATCCAAAATGAAAATAAATAAGGAGACACAAGTTTTGATACATTAAACAAGATGGACTTAATTGATATTTATAGGACAATCCATCCAAAAACAAAAGAATACACTATCTTCTCAAGTGCTCATGGAACATTCTCCAGGATAGATCATATCTTGGGTCACAAATCAAGCCTTGGTAAATTAAAAAAAATTGAAATTGTATCAAGTATCTTTTCCAACAACAACGCTATGAGACTAGATATCAATTACTGGATAAGATTTTTTAAAAATACAAACACGAGGAGGTTAAACAATACACTACTAAATAGCCAAGAGATGACTGAGGAAATCAAAGAGGAAATCAAAAAAATACCTAGAAAAAAATGACAATGAAAACACAATGAGCCAAATCCTATGGGATGCAGCAAAAGCAGTTCTAAGAGGGAAGTATACAGCAATACAATCCTACCTCAAGAAAGAAGAAAAAACTCAAATAAACAACTTAACCTTACACCTAAAGCAATTAGAGAAAAAAAAATCCAAAGTTAGTAGAAGGAAAGAAATCATAAAGATCAGATCAGAAATAAATGAAAAAGAAATGAAGGAAATGATAGCAAAGATCAATAAAACTAAAAGCTGGTTCTTTGAGAAGATAAACAAAATTGATAAACCATTAGCCAGACTCATCAAGAAAAACAGGAAGAAGACTCAAATCAATAGAATTAGAAAGGAAAAAGAAGCAACAACTGACACTGCAGAAATACAAAGGATCATGAGAGATTACTACAAGCAACTCTATGCCAATAAAATGGACAACCTGGAAGAAATGGACAAATTCTTAGAAAAGCACAACCTTCTGAGACTGAACCAGGAAGAAATAGAAAATATAAACAGACCAACCACAAGCACTGAGTTTGTCTGTGATTAAAAATCTTCCAACTAACAAAAGCCCAGGACCAGATGGCTTCACAGGCGAATTCTATCAAACAATTAGAGAAGAGCTAATATCTATCCTTCTCAAATTCTTCCAAAATATAGCAGAGGTAGAAACACACCCAAACTCATTCTACAAGGCCACCGTCACCCTGATACCAAAACCAGAAAAAGATGTCACAAAGAAATACCATGCCAATATCACTGATTACAGGCAAAAATCCTCAACAAAATACTAGGAAACAGAATCAAACAGCACATTAAAAGGATCATATACCATGATCAAGGGGGGTTTATCCCGGCAATGCAAAGATTCTTCAATATACACAAATCAATCAATGTGATAAACCACATTAACAAATTGAAGGAGAAAAACCATATGATCATCTCAATCGATCCAGAAAAAGCTTTTGACAAAATTCAACACCCGTTTATGATAAAAACCCTCCAGAAAGCAGGCATAGGGGGAACTTACCTCAACATAATAAAGGTCATATATGACAAACCCACAGCCAACATCATTCCCAATGGTGAAAAACTGAAAGCATTTCCACTAAGATCAGGAACAAGTCAAGGTTGTCCACTCTCACCACTCTTATTCAACATAGTTTTGGAAGTTTTAGCCACAGCAATCAGAGAAGAAAAAGAACTAAAAGGATTCCAAATCGGAAAAGAAGAAGTAAAGCTGTCACTGTTTGCAGATGACATGATACTATATATAGAGAATCCTAAAGATGCTACGAGAAAGCTGCTAGAGCTAATCAATGAATTTGGTAAAGTAGCAGGATACAAAATTAATGCACAGAAATCTCTGCCATTCCTATACACTAATTATGGAAAATCTGAAAGAGAAATTAAGGAAGCACTCCCATTTACGACTGCAACAAAAAGAATAAAATATCTAGTAACGAACATACCTAAGTAGACAAAAGACCTGTATGCAGAAAACTATAAGACACTGATGAAAAAAATTAAAGATGATATGAACAAATGGAGAGATATACCGTGTTCTTGGATTGGAAGTATCAACATTGTGAAAATGACTATACTACCCAAAGCAATCTACAGATTCGATGCAATCCCTATCAAACTACCACTGGCATTTTTCACAAAACTAGAACAAAAAATTTCACCATTTGTATGGAAACACAAAAGACCCCAAATAGCCAAAGCAATCTTGAGAAAGAAAATAGAGCTGGAGGAATCAGGCTCCCAGACTTTAGACTATACTACAAAGCTACAGTAATCAAGACAGTATGGTACTGGCACTAAAAGAGAAATATAGATCAATGGAACAGGATAGATAGCCCAGAGGTAAACCCACAGACATGGTCACCTTATCTTTGATAAAAGAGGCAACAATATGCAATGGAGAAAAAACAGCCTCTTCAATAAGTGGTGCTGGGAATACTGGACAGCTACATAAAAACGAATGAAATTAGAACACTCCCTAAAACCATACACAAAAATAAACTCAAAATGGATTAAAGACCTAAATGTAAGGGCAGACACTATAAAACTCTTAGAGGAAAACATAGGCAGAACACTCTAAGACATAAATCACAGCAAGATCCTTTTTGACCCATCTGCTATAGCAATGGAAATAAAAACAAAAATAAACAAGTGGGACCTAATGAAACTTAAAAGTTTTTGCACAACAAAGGAAACCATAAACAAGACAAAAAGACAACCCTCAGAATGGGAGAAAATAGTTGCAAATGAAGCAACTGACAAAGGATTAATTTCCAAAATTTACAAGCAGCTCATGCAGCTCAATATGAAAAAAACAAACAACCCAATCCAAAAATTGGCAGAAGACCTAAATAGATATTTCTCCAAAGAAGATATACAGATTGCCAAGTAACACATGAAAGGATGCTCAACATCAATAATCATTGAAGAAATGCAAATCAAAACTACAATGAGGTATCATCCCACACAGGTCAGAATGGGCATCATCAAAAGATCTGCAAATGATAAATGCTAGAGAGGGTTTGGAGAAAGGGAACGCTCTTGCACTGTTGGTGGGAATGTAAAGTGATACAGCCACTATGGAGAACAGTATGGAGGTTCCTTAAAAAACTAAAACTAGAACTACGATACGACCCAGGAATCCCACTACTGAGCATATATCCTGAGAAAACCATAATTCAAAAAGAATCATGTACCACAATAGTCATTGCAGCTCTATTTACAATAGCTAGGGCATGGAAGCAACATTAGTGTCCATTGACAGATGAATGTATAAAGAAGATGTGGCACATATATACAATGGAGTATTTCTCAGCCAGAAAAAGAAATGAAATTTGAGTTATCTGTAGTTAGGTGGATGGGTCTAGAGACTGTCATACAGAGTGAAGTAAGTCAGAAAGAGAAAAATAAATACCATATGCTAACACATATATATGGAATCTAAAAAAAATAACAATGGTTCTAAGGAACCTAGGAGCAGGACTGTAAAAAGCCACAGAGGTAGAGAATGGACTTGAGGACATGGTGAGAGGGAAGGGTAAGCTGGGACGAAGTGACAGAATGGCATGGACATATATACACTACCAAATGTAAAATAGATACCTAGTGGGAAGTAGCCACATAGCGCAGGGAGATCAGCTCTGTGCTTTGTGAACACCTAGAGGGGTGGTTTGGGGACGATTGTAGGGAGGTGCAAGAGGGAGGAGATATGGGGATATATGTATATGCAAAGCTGATTCACTTTGTTATAAAGCAGAAACTAACACAGTATTGTAAAGCAATTATACTCCAATAAAAAAATAAAAATATAAAATGGCATAGAATAGGTCAGGAAGATAGGTCTCACCATAAATCAACCCTGATATCACCTTGATCTTGGACTTCAAGTCTTCAGATACATAAGAAAGTAAATTTCTGTTATATAAGTCGCCCAGTCTGTGGTATTTTGTATGGCAGCCCAAGCCAACTCATACACCCCCTCTCCTCCTCCTTACTTAACAGCCATAATCAATTATCATAATCATTTCATGGTAACTCACCTTCCTTGCCCCTCTCCATCTCCATAATCTTGATGAGCAGATACAGGACCAACTTCCTCCATTTTTCATCTGTTCCCCACATGCAAAGTAAAGACACCAAACTGAGCATTTGCATCGTGAAGATAATTGTAATCTTGAAAAATCTGAATGAATCTAAATATCTATTAATAGTGGGATGCTCAAAATGTTGGTGCTGGTTCCAGACAGATCAACATGTGAGATGTTGAAAATAATGTTGAATGAAAATGGAAAGATGGAGGATAATACACACAACACTTCACCAAATATTGTTGAAAAACACAGAGGATAATAATCTTAATGTAAATAGATTGGAAAGATTCTTATGAAAATGTCAGATGGCAGCTGCCTCTGGGGAGCTTGGAGGGGAATATTACTGACAGGGTTCATTACAGGAGACTAGCTAAACTGCTCAAGTTTGTTCTATTTAAGTAAAAAGAATGAGAAACAAATATGACAAAATATCTGCAGTAGATATTCTAAGCTTTGGGAATATTTTTATATTTTACATACATTTTCTTTATTTTTAAATTTCTTTAAAATATATAGAAAAAAGAAGGGAAAGGGAAACAAACACATGAAATTGAAAATACATATTCCATACAGTTTTGGAATATAAATAATCTTCCATACAGTTTTGGAATATAAATCTCACTTATAAATGCTCAGAAGAGAGTTCTTTCAATTAACTATTTCACAACCTTACACTCTTTAGGGTCATTGTTTCTTAAATAACACAGGCAGGAAAAATTGTTTTTATGTAATTAAGATGACCAGAAAATAACAGGGCACTAATAACTTCAAGAATGAGAGCTATTCAGAAAGGCAACAGAATTTGCCACTTTGAAATATGCCTCTTTGACATAAGATTTTTTTTGGCTGATTATTTTTACAAACAGCAGACATAGAAGAAACTCTGGAAACTGAGTAGAAGTAACCCTTTTGTAAGAGACATCTCCATGTATAAGGGAAATCTCCATTTATAAGGGCGTCTCCTTCCCTGTACCAGGAAGAGGGAGATGACTATATCTCTAGAAACTTTTACCAGTGGAAAAGGTAGAGACAAATCTGCATAACAACCATACTCTGTTTATTGTGCTTTGCATGAAAACTTCTCATAACTGGTTCCCCAGCCCCAAAATCTTTTGTCTTTAGCTGGAGATGGTATTCAAGGTGATGGCTTAGGCCATTTCAGGGAATGGACTCAATTTTCCTGGTTATCTCCCTTGTATACAGGAGAGATACGTGTTATTAAATTTTGGTTTGTTTTTCTCCTGTTAATTTATCTTCTCAGCCAAGAACCTAGAAGAGTAGAGGAAAAATTATTTTTCCTCCTCCACAATTCTGTCGATGTGGTTAACGTGAAAATCTTCCTTGAAGGATTAACATAAAAATTTTGTCTTTATTATTACAATATTATTATCAAATTGAAATGGCTCATTTTTTATTTCTGATACCCAAGGTACCATATAAATTGACTTCGTCTGGCTTATAAGAAACTAACCATTTTTCCAGATTTTACTAGCGCCAGTTCCCAATTAAAAATCTGTAACTACTATTTTTAAATGCTGAAAGGGTTAAGGATTAAGGTGTGGTTTTGAACTGCATAGTCTTATTTGTTTTTGAATGTTTATGTCAATTCTTAATTGTTGCTGGAAGTTCAAATAATGGATGAAGCCTGAATAGCCTCAATAAATACCCATTTAAGACTTTCCCTGTCCAAACACACTAAGAACACTTATATTATGACTTTGAACAGTAATCTTGGATTTGTTTCCTTAACACTTTTTTTTTTTTTTTCTTTTTTTCCTGCGGTACGCGGGTCTCTCACTGCTGTGGCCTCTCCCGCTGCGGAGCACAGGCTCCGGACGCGCAGGCTCAGCGGCCATGACTCACGGGCCCAGCCGCTCCGCGGCATGTGGGATCCTCCCAGACCGGGGCACGAACCCGTGTCTCCTGCATCGGCAGGCAGACTCTCAACCACTGCGCCACCAGGGAAGCCCTCCTTAACACTTTTAAGTGTTACTTGCTTTTTTATAGATTGGAGCCAGATGACAGCTGTCGATGCATAATGTAAGTAACCAAAACACAGAAATAATTAGCTTTATTTACAGCAAAATAGAATAGTTATGGAGGCCTGTCTTGAGAAAATTTGATGACTGAAATCTATACAACCATCGCTTGCATATTCTGGGCAGTGAAACTCTGATGACGAGGGGTAGAATAAGTTCCCATCCTATCTTGTTCTCAAGACTGCATGTGAACTTTGTATATTTTATTTACCTGGAAATTAACTAAAATATATTAGGAATGGGCTTCCCTGGTGGCGCAGTGGTTGAGAGTCCGCCTGCCGCCGGTTCGGGAAGATCCCACATGCCGCAGAGCAGCTGGGCCCAAGAGCCATGGCCGCTGAGCCTGCGCGTCCGGAGCCTGTGCTCCGCAATGAGAGAGGCCACAACAGCGAGAGGCACGCGTACCGCAAAAAAAAAAAAAAAAAAGATATTAGGAAGATATATGATATCATGCTATTGGAGACTATTTGGAGTTTTATCTCACGAAAAATGAAGGCATTTTGTTTTAACCTTTTTCCTATACTTCAGATGTGGTCTACTAATCAAATAATGTCTATGCATTAGAAGTACTATTACTAAATAATTGCTAAGTTGCATGTTTTTAAAAGAAAGGTTGAAGGATGAAATTGCTTTCCTGTGTGATCTGTTTATTTCTCATGAATAATCCCATGCTATTAAGAAGTATTACTATAAATCCAAACATAATTAGCATCCTGCACGTGTGTGCTACAATTAACCGATAATACTGGCTCTGAGCACTTGTGATTTCACTAAAAACAAAGTGGAAAACTAACTTTATAGAGTAAATGTGTAAGTGCTGTAGGAAAGCTTTATTAAGTCGAGGTATATTTTTGTCATTGCCATTGCTGTTTTTTGACCTAGTGCTTTCATAATGTAAATTGAGCATTCCAAAGCATGCAATGTTACTAGGGAACATTTTAATACATTTTTTTCAGAAGAATACTTATATCCTTTTTTAGACTAACCAATGATAATTAAAATTAAAACTAAATGCTTAGAGCTAGACTTAAATATGACCAGGAAGAAATAGAAAAAGAATCACTCAATCACTCAGTGCCTTTCCGGGAGAATACATATACTTGCTCTACTTGATGTTAGTGGAACCAAATCTCTTTTGATAGTACACATTTCAGATATGCTGTAGAACAAACATGAATGAATGAAATACCCATTCAATCCTCATTAAGTGTGTTCCTCTCAGCTGTAATCCTGAACAGCATACATCCTAAATCAACCCTCAATCCCAGCTGTGCATCTGAATTACAAAATTTTGCGACGATTGACTAGTCAGTCAGACCTGGAGTTTCTTGTGTGGGTGCCTCGATTGTACCTTTATTTAGAAAATGACTTTTATCTCTATGTCACTTTACCCACTTGTGATCCCTGAGGGGAAAAATAAATCTCAATGTTTTTACCAAGCCAAAAGCAGAAAGCCCAATGTTTTGTTTCAACTTTGGGCAGTGTCAAAAAAAAAAGTGATCTCAGAAAATCCTCATTCATCACTCTTATATGGTATTTATGTAATTGAGCACAAGAATAAGCTATCCCATCAGGGAATTATTATGTAATCAAATTAATCCATCTACATAAACAACTTTCTGAGTGCTAATTTGTACTTTATACCATTCAAGAAGGCGTTGAGGAGAAAGAGAAAGGAACAAACACATTTTCAAAGAAATAGTTCTTTCATGGGTCTTGATAACTTTCAATCTAATGAGAATATTTTCAGCATCAGTTTTTACCTCCTGGCAATGGTCATGTAAAATAAAAGAATATTGAAAATGACTGCTCTTATATGGTATCTGTAAAGCCATCTTTTGAGCTTTAATTTGATCATGTTTACTTTGGAGATCAGCAGGCGAAAACATTTTTATTTTTGCAAACAAATTCACTAAACAATGGACCATGGCGGGAGAAAACATTACATCAGGAAATGCAATCAAAATACATTTCAAGCAGGGTTACTTCTAAAAAGGTTTCACTGCTTTTCCAAGCTCTAGGGTATTGGCTACCTCTTTTCTTCTGACATTTGAAGAACTTGTTTTGAGAATACCATTTCATGAAGAAATAATACCTTGGAAGGTACTGGACAAAGTCCACAGCCTTCAACCATTGCAAAACATAGCTTTATCTGTCCACTTGGGTATATTCTTTACCTCTATTCATCACTTCATTCTTTTCTCCTGGTCCTGCAGGGAGGTTTAACAATGTCCTAGCCAGTATTACAGCTCAAACAAAGCACATTTTTTTGAAAGAATTGCTGCACTCAACTGACTTGTAAATTTCAGTGATTGTGCATCTATAACAAGAGTAAATTAAATAAAAATAAAATAATAATAGTGTATTTTTGAGGAAATAGTCCAAACTATGAGTATACGAAAAATAGATTTAACATTTTTAATGGATGAAGACAAAACATTTAGAATTGTTTTTTCAAAATTATTGTCCAAAGTAGTTTTGTGTGGGAATTTGTGTTATTTGCAAACTTATATCTCCTCCTATGCAGTAGAAATCATTTCTTTACCTATTTTTCAGTGATGTTCAAAGAACGAGAGGAAATATACACAAATCATATCACATTTAAAAGAACATAAAATAATGTAAAATGGAGCATCATTTAGGCTTTGCCATAGAATGAGGCATTCATTTAGTGAATGTTATAATAAATGAACTTTCTTCCTTTTCTTATTTTGATAGAAAGATTTAAAACTGCACTGCATTCTCTCTACAACAAATGGACTGTGGAACACTTTGTACATTTTTAAGTAGCAATGTAATCATTAAAAACATGTTCTTATTGATTTCACTGTGGTAGAAAGATGGCCAAAAGAGCCATTACATTTCTAGGACATTTTGCCACTACAATTCTTAAATCTGCTTTGTATAACTTTTCCGTATTTTCTCTCACATTTATGCAATTAACAATCTTTTCTTACTGGTACACGTGTACCTTGTACCTACCTTTAAAATCCTCTCGTCCAATGAGCACCTTTGTAATATGCTGCTTCAACTCTTCCGTGAGCTAGAAAAAGAGACAGTTAATTTTGCTAAATATGTGGCCAAATAAAAGGAAATGCATGTTTATTAAAAACAAAAGAGCTGCCTGTGAACAAAGCAGATGAGATTTAGACCTTGACGTCCATGTCATTTTTCTTCACCCTTCTGATGTCTCATGTTCTAGTTTGGTTCTTAACAGTATTTCCTATATTTGAAAGTGTTCTATGTATTAAACTCAGTTTCATTCAACAATCACTGAGATCACATTCTTTATAGCAAAACGTAATGTTACGCCCTATGAATGATGGGAATGTGACAAAATCAATCACACAAAGGGTTTATAATAATGAGAGAGATAAGTTTCCTTCATATAGAACATTTATTGAGCTGTTATAATGTGTAATATTCAATATTTCTTCCAGGAAGCCAAAATCTGTAGAAAGAAATGATTGTTAACCATAATAGAGAAATATTATAATAAACATATAAAATATTGTTTGTATAAGGAAGAGATAAGAGGGAAGATGATCAAGTAGGAATTTAAGATATGCAGTTATTTTAAATTCAAAATGAAAAGTGAGGATTTTTTTAATTCATAGGGATTAATTCCAAAATTCATGGAAACAGTCTAATCAATGTACAATTGAGTGATCTCTCTTTCTAGATGTTGACATCAGTAAGGACTAGAACTTGGTCACATTTCCTTTACAAAAATAATAAATAAATAAAAAAAATAACGTTTTCTGTTAGGGAAACAGAGTCACTCATATTCATTATAATTTTTCCATTAACTTAATATCCTCTATTATAAATTTCTTTATATTATATTTTATCTTTTTAAACTTTGATTGAACATGTTTCCTTTTATGGCTTACACCCTCACTAATTTGGAAGTTTGTAAGTATACCTCCATTTGTCTACCATTTGTCATTCTATCTTCAAAGGAATATTGAACGTATATTTCCATATTGTCATATTAATTTTAAAGAATGAATGGCCCCTCCATATTTTGTTGGCTTACCTACTTTCTTATCTCTTGACCACTGAGATGAAAGCTTTATATGGTTTAATTCTCCCAATACTGTTTAATTACTCAAAACTTTAGATTATTGGTCTAAGCTATTGTTTCATCCCTTTAGTGTTTGTGTGCCTAAGTGTGTGTATATGTACGTGTGTGTGTGGTCTTTATATTACCCATTTTACCAATCCTCAGTTTTACTATCATTATATTCATATAAATTAAACTCTCACTGTATCTGTATTACAGCAGTATAGCAGTATTTATTGCTTACTATCAATTGGTGATAGTAAGATAGAAAGATCTTCATCTTTCCCTATCTTGAGAATTTGTTCTGATTTAATTTAATTAGAATAGTTTCCTAAAGAAGTTCCTCATGTCGGGTACAGAGA